CTAAAGAACTGAGACTGGATCCGCTGGCTGGTTACCACGCTGTTGAATTACTTCAAAGGTATGATTGAGCAGCACATGTAACTTTCCCTGTTGGTTACACCCTGCGTATTACTGGTTTTAGTTAGAATACTGTCACTTATAATAATAATTATAATCATTATCTTTGCCAGGTTCATGGTCAAATACATTGAAGATTTCATAACCGCACCCACACCTAAAGGTGCAACTTCTAATCATCCGAGAAGTTATGAGGATGCTGTTTATAACAAACTGAAGGACAAATTCCCGCTGATCATCTTCTCCTGTGTTCAGCTTGCGAGCAAACTGTCTCTGCACAGTCATGCAAGTTCTGCCTTGCGATTGATTACTTATGTCAGTTACCCTGAGATTGCAAATAGAATAATCTTGCATAATTCTTCCACACCTTTTGCAGATGATTGACAACAATACTGCTGTACACTTTCTACACTCAGTCGGCTGCACTGTATCCAAACAGGCTCTCCTGGAATCAGAGCTGATGGTCTTGAAAGGGCTTAAATTCAGACTGAATGTCCTCAACCCACTGACTTATGTGGAAATACTTCTGGAAGTTCTCGGTAAGGGCCCATGTATGCACAGAAAAGTTTATTACATATTATAAATATTAATGTCAGTGCTTTGAGATGATTACATAAACTCTTGTAGGACACAATGAGCCATCAGTCCCTTTGAAGCACCTTTATCACTACTGCCACCATGTTCTCCAGTTTATCAGCCTGGAGAGGACTGCCATCTATGAAACCTTGTTAATGGCAACCACTGAGTGTGTCAGCCCATCCAAGGAACAGAGGTATTAGATTTGGCTTTAAGAAAATATTTCTGATAGATGGTAGAATGGACATGCAGCTTTGGAGAACATTCAAAGGTCAGATGGTCCAATCACTTTTCTGTGACCTTGATGGGAAATGTCATGAGATCCATTAAAGATCTGAAGAATTCATAAGGACAAAGGGAAAGAGAACCACAGTGCTCAGAGAATCTGACTGCACTTGCATTAGCTGCTTAATAATGTGGTTTTTGACATTAAGACAGCAATGTGCTCAAATCTGACTACAAAAGATTCATCCTATCTAATTTGCTCTTTTCACTCTCCTTATAATACTGTTTTATACAGCTCATATAAGAGAGAAACTGTGAAAATATGACTTCATTACTGAAGTTATAAATTTAAATAAAAAGAAATAAATGGCCTATAAAGTGAAATGAAATGTTTGTTACCCTGAGATTACTTTCTCATCCCATCAGCTCATATTTCCAGATCCAGTGTAATTCCTGCCTATATTAAGGCTTTCTCTGACTGAAGTTAAAAAAAATTCATCGCAATCATAAAGGTTGGCAATACAGCAGCAATTAAACTGAGGACATAACTGACTGAGTTAGCAAACTGAATTACAATAAACCTTAAATAGCTCATAATCCTGATTTAAAGACCCGTTTCCTTTTTTTTTCTTTTTTTTTTTACCTTTTTCAAAACTTTGCAGGTTATGGCACAAAGTTGAACATACAATTAAACAACATTTACATGATCTGCATTACTTACATCATTCATATTGATCCTTTGGTCTGATGATGTATTGCTGTGAATTATGGGACAGCTTTATCTGCTTTCCTTTCATAAAGCTTGGTCTGCTGTATTCTCTGCTGAAGGAGGTAAAACAGGAAGCCCTGAAGCGCCATTCTTTAGTATTTAGAGAATTTGATCAGCTCTTTTTTGGTTGCCACACAGATACTTCAGTGTCACTTCACTTAATTCAAAAGCCTACAGCTCGTCAGGCCAACTAGTGTTCATAATAATTTAGGATGTTGCATCAGAAATGGAGTCTTGTTTCCATCCATTTTGTTCTGCTTATCCAGTTTAGAGGGTGAGAGATGCGGTACAGTACACACTGAACAGGTCAGCAATATGTTGCAGGGCTAACACAGAGAAACAGCCAACCATCACGCTCACATTCACACCTACAGTCAATTTAAAAATACCCATTAACCTAACCCCATGTATGTGTTTGGACTGTGGAGGAACCCAGAGTACCCACACAGACACAGGGGGAACATGCAGACTCCGCACAGAGGCCCCAGGCTGGATCTGAACCCTTCTTGTCCTCTTGCTTGCACGTAAAAACAAAAACAAAACCCCAACATTTTTTGCCATCCACCTCAAAATTTCTGGTTACTTACTGAACATTTCAATTTAGTTCAACTTAGTGATTTTCTCTCAAGTTTGAGTTATTTACCTGAAATTTTGAGACTGTTTTCTAAACTGTGTAATCTATTTTTTTAAACAATGCTGGGAGTGAAAAAAAAATTGTAATTAATCAACTAAAGCTGAAAGCTGAAAGACTTTTAATGCCACAACAGACTGATGTCAGTATAGAAAATTACCCATCCACTGTTTTTGATTTTGTGTGATTTAATACAGCGGTCCCCAACCTTTTTTGCGCCACGGACGGGTTTATGCCCGACAATATTTTCATGGACCGGCCTTTAAGGTGTCGCGGATAAATACAACAAAATAAAACTAGTACCGGTACCGAAAAAAAGAAAATTTATTCATAACACACGTGAAAAGATCAAGGAAAACCGAGTAAACGATAAAAACGATAACAAAATAACGCTGAAAACCGATAAAAACCCTGAAAACTATACATTTCACACCTGAGCCTCAACTCTCGCGGCCCGGTACCAAACGACTCACGGACCGGTACCGGTCCGAGGCCCGGGGGTTGGGGACCGCTGATTTAATATGTCATCAATCATTTGTGAAAACCAGGGAACAATTTGTACCAGTGACTGAAGACTGCATGCTCCTGGGTGTTGGTGTCATCGCTGTGGCTGCATTCATCCTCAGAAAGTGGGAACAGGTAAAGTAAAATTTCTTTTTTTATATTACACCTACAACAGAAATTGTTGTCACTGTAAAGGTTCAAATAACCTTTTTAAGTCACCTACTTGATTTCAATTAAATTAAATCTGAATCTAATCTAACTGTGTTTAACTGTAGGTAGTTGGAGAACTGAGCCACATCACAAGAATCTCAAAGAGAAGCATCACTGATTTCGCTCACGCGACTTTAGTGCACATTGTTGGCATCAGCTCCAGTGTCACTCCACTCTCATGACTGGCATGAGAAGAAAAAAAATCTGTGTGCTGCAATAAAATGTCACCTAAACAAATAAAAAAATCACTAAAGATTGGCGATGTTGCCAAAGTGTTAGAAACACTGTTAACTGTTCATTCTGTAAAGCCAAATAAATAAATAAAAAGAGATTAGAGCTGTGGAAATACAATTGATTTAGTTTCAAATACTGTTACAGCCTTACTATAGCTGCTGACACTTATCCACTCGCTTAAATTTGATGCACTGCATTTTATTATAACACTCAAATATGGATTTGAGCTAGGGATCAAATGCCCATTAACATTTGAAGGTTCCTCCTCATCTTTCTTCTTGTCATTAGGCAGGCAAACACGCAGGGAATGAACATCAATCGCATCTGCAGAAAGAAATAAAAAAAACTGAGTTGCTGTAGAGAGAACCCAAAATCTTCAAATGTGTTAACATTTATGCTTTGGGATGAAACTGACATATTCTTGTGTGTCGTAAATTTAAAAAAGGCAGATGAAAAACAAAAATGCAGAGTAAAACAAAAACAGGAAGGAATACAAAGGACCAAAGATGATGGGAAGATTATATAAATAGATATAAATAGAGGGTGAATTACAAAACATGACCCAGGTAGCAAAAGGTCACAAGTGGAGACAAACCCCCCCAAAAACACACAAGAACACAAACCATCAGAGGAAACCAGGAAACAACAGAGAGAAATAACTTGCACCAAAATGTGAAAACTAACACTTAACATGAAGACAAAGGCAGTGGGACAAGACAAGGCACCAGGAATTAGGAAAAGCTAGAACCACAAAGTGGCACAGCAAAACAGAGACAATATTAGCACCATGACACATCCATTTTATGCAAAAACATAAATAATTAAAGAAAGTGAAAAATAAAACATTAAGATTCTATAGTTACCCAGAGCGGCTGGGAGTTAAATGTGGATAGATATAGTACAGTTCCTGAGATGATCATGATATCCACTATATCTGACACATCAGAGCGTCCAGTGATGCCATCACCCTGAAACAGATGGGGAAGGACAAAGTGCAGTCATGTAATTATAGTTTTAATTTTTCAAAAGCCTGTTTTTTCTTTTTTATTCTTTTTCTCAGTTTACCTGTCGAATTCTCACGTAACAGTCCTTCAAGTTAAACACGTTTGGGTCCACGACTACCCTCCCCTTACAAATTTCACATCTTTGGACAGCACGGAAAGATAACCCTGGAAATACACACACATCGTGACTAAACATATTGACCATAATACCACCGTATAGCTTTTCCTTTTGCAGGCAACTTTTT